AACCTGGGAAGCACGCTCAGCCTGGGAGGCTCAGGCCAGGCCCTCCTGGGACTTCGGGAGAGATTGCGTGACCAACCGTCAGCCTGAGGCCTTCTAACGCGATAGGGCGGTCTGATAGGGTCCTAATAGGTCTGGAGGTGGATTCATCATCCCTGAGCATAGCGATCTCCTGTCAATCCATATGGACGCCTCCCTCGCCGAGGGACCCTCGGACTGTACTTCATAATCTACACGAGTCCGTAGGTCTGCTTAATCAGCAGATTTCTAGGCGAGAGGGTCTGTAGAGGACGTCGGTGTGGGAAACTGGTGTTGGAAGTGCTCTCCGACCGCAGTGCTCGGGATAGAAGGCCAAAGCATTGTGGTCGGCGGGCTTTCGATAGCTCAATTTCAGCGACTTGTGGTAACGTGTACGGTTTCCGCAACTCGAATTGCAGCCACAGCGCCTTGTGGAGGGGGGAGAGGGAGGTAGGGTTGGATATTACCACATCTCTGTCGCTTTGTGACGCCGTGTCATCACTGGCACGGTCTAGCTCGAATCGTATGACACGGTAGAGGCATAAGGATGGCGTCGTCCAGCTAAGTTCCGCTAGTGAAGTTCTAATAGAACTGTACAGTGGATGTGACCGCTTCACAGTTATCAGAGAGTTTCATCGGACCAAGTCTAACAAGATCTAACAAGTGCATCGCTACGCCGCCATATACAATCGCGATGCGGGAAAAAAGTGGGATCGGTCTAGTATGTAGAAGTCCGGGACTTTTGACTTGAGGTACATAGGATTCTGAGTGAGCAACGGTTGGGACCTCCACTAGAGGTGAATCCTCACACGTATGTACGTTCTTCGACATAATTGCCAGCTTACTGAGAAAGGTGGTGATGATGATGAATCATCATTGATGATGGACTATTCGACAGTCGAATGTCACTATGATTCATAGGACCTTAGTCAACTTCAGGAGACGTAAATAACCTGGCACTGCTCTGTATGCCAAAATAGGTTGCCGATAGGCCATTGGCAGTAGGTTCGAGACAGGTATTCGGAGCCAGTAGATGCGTGTTTCCACTCCTCTTCGGTATTATACACGTCCAATGGCATTGAGTGCCAGCTTGTTATATCCGATGGTGAAGTAGGAGCTTCTTTATTTATGCATTGATTACAATTCAACGACCTCGCTGGTGAGTAGAGAGGATTTTTTCTTGGGTACGGGGATTGATCATTGCGTTGGTAACTTGAGTAAATGACTCGGAATGTAGGCTCAATGATGGTACGCACCATTGCGGACTTGCAATTGTGAGTAGTGATGACCATGCATCATCATATTATCGACATACCCTACCATCATACTAGTCTTTTGGGAGCAAGAACAACGACAACACCTGCATGCCAACAGCACCTGAGCCGGTTACATGATCATCGATTATGGAGGTACGGTTCGCAGGAATTTCTGAAGTGTGGGAAAGTATGCGCACGGTCATGTGTCGGTGATGCCGATGAAATTTTGGGAAATTCTTGTTGGTTTTTGTACACTTCTACCCGAGTTCGTATTCAAGCTTCTCAAATTAGTGAGCTCAGCTGAGCGAAGTGATCATATATTCCAACATGTTAACACTCTACATTGTCCTTTTGACAGACCCCATCACCACCAGCCTCTCACCGACTTACACCAAATAGCTCTATCCACTCTGCCATACCTACAAACATCAATCAAGATGTTCCCCTCCCCACTGCATTTGGCCCTCCCTCATATCGACTCATATGGCGGAGTGGTGAAGTATAGCTACGTTGCCGGGACCTCGGGTCCACTCCTCTACTTGTATCAATCAGAAGTCAATCGAGACTTTATCTAGTTTTGATCAACATGCCGGCATGCCGGAGTCGTCACTGTTAAACCGTCGTGATGTGTTAAAGTTCAACATTGTACAGGGACTCGAAATTTCATGTTCCCAAGTAACTTCATAAGATGAGCCAAGTTGTGATTCAATATCTGCTCATGTATCGTCATCCATGTACACCTTTTCAACGCCTATTTAGCTCATCATACGAGTTCGATCATTATGTGCGTTAATGTATCGTCTCCTTTGCCAACAAAGCGCTGAGGGAAGTGATCGTATAACGAGCTGGTTTTCAGTCTGCTTATCTCCAATATAATGATGAACAACACTTGCTTGGAGGGTTCCACCACTAGTAACGCGTTCATGCACTACTTAACCCAAGACACACAATGTGGATAAACTCTCACCAGGGCTCATTTATTATGAATCCTATATTGGTATTATCGCCTGGTGACAAGCCGTGGAAAATTGACTAACACAAGAGAGATGCCAAATTATTCAATTTTCATCGTCTCTCCATCGCAACAAGAGTATCTCCGACTGGCCGCACTCTGGTGCATCTACCGAAAATCGATCAACTAATCTAAACGCAGACAATACACGTTGTTGGAGATATTGTAAATCTTCTGGAGTTCGTGTCCTATAAGCCAACACAACGAGTGTCTCCGGCCTGTCCTTAGCGACCGCCGAGAGAGCATAGAGTAATGGATCTTGCTCTTCAAAGTAAACCACATCAGCTGCCAATACCACATCCCAATGCTCAGCACTGATCTTCTCATGATGTGCACGATTCGACCAATCGAATGCTTCAACCCTCGCCTGCAGACCATTAGCTTCTACATTAGCCGAGATCAGACTGAGCACTTCCGGTCTATCAGTAATGGTCACGTCCAGTTGAGGATACTCCATGGCTACTGCGAGACTAGGCAAGCCAACACCAGCACCAATCTCGATGACATTTCCTCTTGACGGTAGAGGCACTCGTCCTTCAATAATGGCCCGAGCCAGGAGCCTTCCACTTGGCCAGAGGACTGCAGCAATCGATGGCCGATCGGGTTGTTCCATAACCTTCAATGATACTCCTTCTGTGAGTTCAATAACTGTCTCCACGTAGTTGTACTTGTCGTCTTGATATTTATCCTCAATTGTGTATGGTAAGCCACCATGCCAAATAATGCTACCACTATTGGCAGGCTCGGGGACCGATTTGGGATGCCCGTGGGGAAAACAACAAAAATGGAAAACTCCAGAAGAGTGTTCTGATGACTTTGCCATATACACAACAATCGTTTACTGCTCCAAATGAAATCGATCCCCCTCGAAACTGTATAAACACAAAAATGAAGGCATAGTTCATGAAGTCTATCAATTATCATCATCATCCAAGTATCCCTCACTGAATGTCCGATTCGATCTCCTCCAGAAAGAGACCTCTGAGAAGACGATTATGATAACGACTACTTCGCCTGTGAAGTGGTGATAGGATTCAGAGCGGAAACTATGATAGCATATATCTACTGACTTGTCACTGATGGATTCTTGCGAATTGCATAAAACTTCAAATTCAACATATAACAACAGTAGATGAACACTACAATGGCTATACTCAAATGCAGAGTGAAACTCTCAGTACACTCTACACTGAGTACAGAGACTAATAAAATATAATTATGATACCACAAAACATTATATAACTTAAAATAAGTACAATACCTCACTGTTCCCGATGAGGAGTTGTGACACGACCAAGCCCCGACGATTAGCCCGCCTAGGGTGGGGGGATGTACGATAATACCGACGAATGCGGAAGGTGAAACATCATCATCCCGTCACGAACTAACTCAATTATAAATATTGACAGAATCTCTCCAATTCTGGTCGCCCTACATAGATAAAAAAAGCACAAATCTTCACAGAGGAAAAAAGATTTTCTTGCGTCCAGCATACGAACATGTTTTCACGTTATACAATTTTATGAATCTCCTATTTATAGAAAGCCGGAAATCCTTCTTTGCTTCTTGTAAACTCGCTTTGATGCGACATATAGCTTATCAACAGTTTTGACTACCTCAATTTTTTCGTAGGAAAATATACACACACGAGCATTCACGTGTGTAATGACGATGCAGAAAATATTGAGAATTTTCTCCCACACTTTGACCCGAAGTCGAGTAGCTTTGAAAACTCAACTGAGGAAATCAAATATGTATTTAAACACCATTTACTTTTATCACCATAGCCGCGACGATTCCGGATATGTTAATACCGTTCCACGTTTGGAAAACGCGAGCCAAACAGAAACGTACATTTGCTCCGCAGTGCCACCTGTTATTACCTGTTCCCTTTCCAACCTTCAAATGTCGAATTCGGCCACGCATTCAAAATGCAGCATTTTTGGAGTCGAGTTATTATCAATTAAGTAGATGAAAGACGGAAAATGCTCCACAATAATATAAGAAAGACTCAAAAATGATTGGAAACATTTCTACTATGCATACTAAATCGGGTATGGATCATCTGGTTCCGAGCCACATAGAACTAGACGTGTCGGGAACAGGGGCTATAGGCGGTCATAGGCGGTCATAGGCGGTCATAGGGAGGAATCCTCCCGGAGGATCGTGAGAGCATTTAATGATATTATACTAAATAGGATGTAACGTCTTTAGAAAAGCGACCTCGGGCGATGACCGATTCACTTTGGATTTCTTCCGTTGGTAACGAAAGAACTCCGAAGTGAATCGGTTTAGGAGCACCGATTTAGGAGTAACGAACCCTCA